GGGGCTGGAGGAGGGGAGTCCTCCCAGAGACAGAAGGAAAGACAAGGACAGGAGTCTGCAAGGGCCAAGGGCAGGAGGGGATGGGGGCGGAGCAGGGCGGGAAGCACAGTCCCTGGGTGACCTCGGAGGGAGGAAGGGAGGGCCGCCGGTAGGGTGACCCTCGGGTCCAGCCAGAGCTGGCGGTGGCGCCCTCACACCTGGCACCCAGGGCAGGGGGCTGGCAGGGGGCAGTTCTGGGCTCAGACCTGCTTGCCAGGTGCCCCGCTCCGGGCAGGAAGGGGGTGGGCGAGGGCTGCACAAAGGAGCTCTGTGTGGTTGGGGGTAGGGTGGGGTGGGGTGGGTGTGCTGTGCTGTGTTGTGGGGGGAGCCCTGATGGCCCCGGGAAGCGGGGCAGGGCCAGCTCCTCTTGGGGGCATCAGTGGTGGCTCCAAAGGGACACCTAGTGGCAAGGGAGAGTATTGCATCAGGATGGCTAGTGGGAGGTGGTGACTAGAAGCTGAGAGGAGGATAGATTAGAAGTTAAAAATTAGAACTGATGGTTGGGACTAGGACAGTTGGAGGAGGCTGCATGGAAGGGGGCTGAATCTCTGAACAGCAAAGCAGTTTGGTTTGGAGAAGTTGAACAAACTGAAATTCAGACTCCAGCTAAATTGAATGATATGGCTGTTTGTCTTTAAGGGCATAACCTCTCTGGGCCGCCATTTCAATGCCAAATGAGTGACAGCTGCCAGTATTATTGCCATCATTGTTATTTTTATTATGATATGGGGGTGGAATCAGGTTGGAAGAAGACCTTCAAGTACAACTGTGTGGGCGGGGAAGGGGCTGAAGGGAAGGAGAGTGAGAGGGTGATGATTAGACCCTGAGAGGGCAGATTCTGAGATAAGGCCAGGGAGAAGGGAGGTGATGGGGGGAAGGTCTCAGAGCAGCAGTAATGACCCCTTTGATGCAGTGTTTTCCATTTGAGGATATCCCTGGGCCTTCAAACCAGGCTGGGAGGGAAATGGAGGGGGGTGGAGGAGTGTGCAGGCTGGAGAGAGGGTCATGAGGCCGGAAGTGAGAGCTGGGGCTGGCAGCCTGGCTCCCCTG